TACAAACCAGGTTACGCTTTGTTTGCTCTATAGGAGGCAGTCAGTGTGAGTGCCAAAATGTTCGGTGCTCTTGGGCATTTCACTGTGCTGCCAGGGGTTGGGGGGGGTCAAGGTCCCCACCAAAACTTAGACCGAACCTACGCCCTTGCTGACAGGTGCTGAGTGACGTAACGCCACATGAGCTGAAGATTCAGCTGCAGTTCCACCGCCCGGCCTGTAGAGGGCAGCACGGTTTTAGGCCAGAGGCTGCAGAATCAGACAGGCTGACATGAAAATAGTACAGAAACATAAAGATGAAGATCTAGAGATAGATTGAACAGATTAAAACCTCCAAAGTGAATCAAATGGTCGGCGGCGCCGAACTTGTCCAGATTCCTCCAGAACCCAACATGGCCGCCCGGTTCGGTTAGCTACGCTGCGGTTCATAACCAGTTAGCCTCACTGGGATCTCTGGGAAGGCGGAGCTAAACCACCCAACATGGCGTCGTGCCAGTTGGACAGCTAGCATGTTAGCATGTCTCGTTCTTGTCTAAGGCAGAGATGGTTTTCTGTCCTCCAATCAATGGACCGCATTGTGTGACGCCCGTAGCTCTGCCCCAACCTGACCTTTGACCTTTGGACCTTCACCTGAAGCAGGCTGAGGAACGGTGCAGGTCTGTTTGAAAAGCAGACTGAAGATCAACCCGAACCGAGCCAAGCCAAGCAGGGCGGCACTGCTCATGGACACAGCTGGGTGTTCCAACATACTGACTATTCATACAGAGGGTGTTAGTCCGGTTTTCTGGACCAAAGCCGGACCATAACCGGACCATCACTGGCCCTGGTTCCCAAAGTTCTGGTCCTGCTGAGGTTCTGGTCTCGGCCTGGTTTGTGGCAGGAAGCTTGCTGTGCTAAAGGGTCTCCTCTGCTTCTGCTGAATCTTTAAAGAGCCGGTCTGTTTTCTGATTGGTGCGTCCAGAACTTAAATATTTGAGGAGGAAGCTGCTGAGATGTGTGATGTCACTTCCTCCTCCTACAGCCCTAGTGTTTCCATGGCGACAGTGCAGCATCGTGTCTCTCCAGGGATTCCCTAATGGCAGCAGCTCGCCGACATGGCGTCCTCCATGCAGCATGGCGGCTCATGATGATGATGATGATGATGCAGTGTGAAATGGGTCGGCGATGATGTCACCGTCGCTAAGCAACACATTTAATCCCACTTCTTTCAGATTAGGAGGGAAAAACTCCTGAAAGCCTTTTATGTAGATTACACCTGATGTACTGCTCTGTCACACCTCTGCTGACCTTTGACCTCTGCTTTCCAAAAATAATATTTCACCATTAAAGTCTGGAAGATGCTGAAACTGAGCTTTAACTAGGCCATTCCAACATGAAGAACCATGTGATCAGAACCATCCAATATATGAACCAATATATGAAAGATGAACCCATCTTTGGGTTAATCTTTTCCAGGTTTTCCTGTTTGGACTAGAACAAACATTTCTGTCACATCAGAACCAGACGGCGAGGAAACGCAGCATCATGGAGGGAAGAGCAGGAGTGAAGGGACAAGTTTATAATCAGATCAGCATCAGAGGCTGCAGCAGCTCCCAGCAGAGGAACTGAACTCAATCTGTCCAGCAAACCTCCAACCAGCTGAATAAATCATGCAGCCGTCAGCCTGCTGCTCAGCTACTGTTAGCTCAGTGCTGTTAGCTCAGTACTGTTAGCTCAGCTACTGCTAGCTCAGTGTTGTTAGCTCAGCTACTGTTAGCTCGGTGCTGTTAGCTTGGTGCTGTTTGCTCAGCTACCGTTAGCTCAGCTACTGCTAGCTCAGTGCTGTTAGGTCAATGCTGTTAGCTCGGTGCTGTTAGCTTGGTGCTGTTTGCTCAGCTACCGTTAGCTCAGTGCAGTTAGCTTAGTGCAGTTAGATCAGCTACTGTTAGTTCAGTTACTGTTAGCGGCTCAGTGCAGTTAGCTGAACTACTGTTAGCTCAGCTAAGTTAGCTCAGTGCTGTTAGCTTGGTGCTGTTAGCTCAGCTTCTGTTAGCTCAGGTACTGTTAGCTCAGTGCTATTAGCTTAGTGCTGTTAGCTCAGGTACTGTTAGCTCAGGACTTGTTTCATAAAAACATGTTTTGAACGTTTGTTTTGCTCTTGGTTCTCTTCCTGAGATCTTGGTGTTACATTAGGAAGCAGTAGATTTGAACTGTTGCTAACTGACCAATCAGAAGCTTAGGAAGCAATGATATCACCAAGAAGCTGATGAGAGGTCATATTAAATGCCAGGAGAAGCCGTAGACTATGTAAACATCTGGTTTCAGCTGGAAACGGCTTCATTAGCTTTGCTGCTAACGTGAAGCATTAGTAGTTAGCACTAGCTTATTGCTCAGTGTGCTCCACTGTCTGGTTTTAGATAAATAAACTGTTTGTTCAGAACAAGCAGCAGTAGATAATAAGTCCTGGTTGCCGCGGTGCCGTTTGTGGTTTCCATCATGTTTCTGAGGCTTTATGATGTAACCATGGCGGCTAAACCCAGAAACAATCAGCAGCGACCTGATGGTCCGTAATCCACTGGAAGATTCAGAGGCTTTTATTAAATCCAGATGAACTGATAAACGATAAACCGCGACCTCGTTTCACCGGCTGAAAATCACTTCATCTGGAAGGTTCTGTTCACAGAGATTCAACTGATCAATAAACCAATAGATCAATAAATCAATAATGATGGTTTAACCCTCAGACTGGAGCCAATTTTCACCACAGCTCAAGGTCACCAAGATGGACGACACAAGATCCTTCAGGTCAGATCAACTCAGATCACCTGATCAATCCTCTGATCAATACTCTGATCAATATGCAGCCCAGATGTTCAGAGGCTACAGGTGGCAGCATCATGCTGTGGGATGCTGGTGATGGTTTTCACAGGGAGTTCAGCATCCAGGTCGGTTCTGGACCAGAGAATCCAGAACCGTCCACAACAAAAGTTAAACAAACAGAACTTAATGAGACTGACGGACCGGATGGAGAACCCAGATCCAGTTCAGACCCGGTTCTGGTTGTGGTTCTGGTTCTGGTCTGGACTGGCCTTCAGGCGGTGTTCTGCCTTAGAAATCATCCACTTCCTGTCCTGCAGTTCAGTGTTGACGTCACTTCCTCCCAGAACCGCCACCAAACTGCCGACAGTTTGGACCCGGTCCGACCCGGTCTGATCCAGTCCGGTCCGGCGCTGAGAGTAACTTTCTCTAAACTCACATTAGTTTTTACTGAAGCTTTACTTTGACTGGACCAGTTTGACCTGCAGGTTCTGATGTAAGGCGAATTGACAGAGTCAGCCACTGGACTAGGTCAGGTTCTGATCCAGATAAGGTTCTGGTTCTGATCCGGTTATTCCTCTGAAGGACTCGTGGTCTCCATGGAAACGGCACCCAGCCTGCCGTGGCCATGTGAGGCCATTGCCACAGTAACTGGTCTGCAGTGAGCCGAACAGACAGAGTCTGCATTTGGGAGGCTTTGATTAGACCACTTCAGGGAGCAGCCCAGGGCATGATGCTTCCACCATCATGTCTGACTGCTGCCCCCTGCTGGAGGAACGCCACCGCAGCGCAGATTATTTAACGTGGACCTCCGCAGCAGGAAGTGGTTCGGTTCTGATGGAACCATGAGGTTCCGGTTTGATTGTTTTTTTATGTGGAATAAAAAGTTTTTATTTAAAAACTGGAGCCGTTCGCTGAAGGAAGCAGCTACTTCCTGTTTCAGTGTGAGTCACTTCCTGTTTGAGTGAGCGGAGCTATAAAGGAGCCTTCCTCCCTCCTCTTCCTCAGTCACCATGGGGAACTTCGTAGCCAATGAGGGGCTTTCCATCTTTGTTATTGTGAGTAAAACCTTCAGCTGCGGTAGAACCTGCTTTAAAACATTTAATTATTAGATAATTGATATTTATTGATCAATAGATCTAAACTATTGCTGGTTATGAATTCTACTATGAATTAAATATTTTAATAGTTTAATTGTGACGTCATGAAAGCCGAGCAGAACCGCCCGTTTGGATCCATGGAAATATTTCTGTGAATTAGTCATTTATAACTATTCATTCATCATTTATTTTTCTCCAGCTGGTCTGGTTGGGAATCAATGGATTCCTGTTCGTTAATTTCTACATGGCCTTCCTGGTGGACCGCTGGTTCTACACCCGGGTTCTGCTGGGGGTGAGTCCGGACCGACCGGGTCAGGGGTCAGAGGTCACAGCTTCAGCCACAGTCTGAGTTCTTCTGTTAGTTGATTCTGAAACTTGCGGAGCTTCAGTCGGTTTTAATCAGAGTTTTATTCAGTTTCTCTGTTTTATTCAAAGTTTTTCTGCTGTTTCTGAAACATGCGGAGCAGCAGCCTGTTTTCACAGTTTTATTCTGTTTTATTTGGAGTTATTTCAGTAGTTTCTGTACTCTGTGAACCACGCGGAGCTTCAGTCTCAGTTCCTCTAAAGCTGCAGCTGCTCCACCTGCAGACTTTCAGGTTTCTTCCTCTTTTAGTAACAGTGGAGAAAAATGCTGATAATGTCTCCTATAAACTGGGATCAGATCCCCGGCATGATGCTGCCTCCACCGTTCCGATTTTTAGGCGGGTCAGCGGCTCCGGACCTATCGGGTCAGAGCGTCGCAGCTGGATCGGAACCGGTAACGTATTGTGTCTCTGCAGCACGCCCTGTCCTGGGCCAGAGCTCCGGCCGCCTGCCTGAACTTTAACTGCATGCTGATCCTGCTGCCGGTCTGCAGGAACCTGCTGTCGCTGCTGCGAGGCTCCATCCAGGTAGGAACCGCTCCGGGAACCGGCTCGGTTCCGATCCAGTTCTCGTCAGACTCTCTGTGTCTCCACAGTGCTGCAGCCGAACCGCGGCGCGGCAGCTGGACCGGAACCTGACGTTTCACAAGCTGGTGGCCTACATGATCGCCTTCCACACAGGTCAGAGAAACAACAGATACAAACTGTTTTTATTTATGTTCATCATTATTTCTCTTATTCTTATATTTGTTCATTTTGATTTATTAATCTGTTTAGTTTTATATTTAGTTCTATTTATTTTATATTTAATTTACTTCATTGTAAATGTACATATTTCTAGATCAATTTATTAATTTAAACCCTGCAGCAGTTTAAACCCTGAATTAATTTATTCATTTTGCTAAGTAAAACAGAGGAGTGAGTAAACAGCCCTGAGGTTCCCCACTCAGCCAAAGTAACTTCCTGCTTTTCAGTCATTTAAATCCCTAGAGATCAGAGCTGATGGTTCTACTGAAGCTGATGACTGATCGTTGCTCTGTTGTTGAACGTTGCTCTGTTGTTGAACGTTGTTCTGTTGTTGAACGTTGCTCTGTTGCTGAACGTTGCTCTGTTGCAGCCGTCCACATCATTGCTCACTTGTTCAACTTTGAGTTCTTCATGGACGCCCAGCTAAACCGCAGCGTTGACCTGCTGCCCTTCGTTCTGTCTGACATCGGCAACGGGGACAACGCGTCCTTCCTCAACCCCATCAGGAGCAATGAGACGGTGAGCAACGCTTCCCCAGCAACGCTCTGTGGTTGCTGCTTGGCGATGGAGCAACCTGGCAGCTTTCCAGTGTTGCTAAACGTTGTGAAAGCAACCACTGGTTGCTCAATCAGAGAAATGTTTCCTCTTCAATTCTTTTTTTAACTTTCCCATAAGTTTGCTCAGAAGAGGCTGATGATGATGATGATGATGATGATGATGATGATGATGATGATGATGAATCAGTCTCTGTCATCAGCAACCTACTTATACTTTTTCCTGCACTGCACTTTTTACTTTTACTTCAGTCATTTTATTTTGAAGGATTTCTTCGCTTTAGTAAAATTTCTGGATTTTTTTTATCCTCTGAATGAAAACAAGCATGTCAAACCAGAATCATAAACCTGCAGGTTTTGTTAAAGTTTCAGAGTTTTTATTATTTTTTGTTAATTATATGAATTATTGACATGAAGTTTCCACTTAACTTTATATTTTTGTCCATCTGATTTTGTAATTTTTAATTATTGAATGACTGGTACTTCAGTAAACGTTTTACGAAATACTTTTTGCTCTTACTAGAGAGTAATTGTTTGGTTCTGGTTGTTGGAGCTGCAGCCGCGATTCTGATCTGAATATATGAGTTGGTTTCATGAAACCCTAAAGCAATAATAATAATAATAATAATAATAATAATAATAATAATAATAATTACATCTCCAGGTATCTGCAGTGCGTCTCATCAGCTAACCTTCATGGTTCATCAGGTTTTTCTGCCGTTCTTAATCTCAGCAGTTTGAGGAACAACATTCTGTCAAAACACCGTTTGGTAAAAGAGGGAAGTTGGTCAACAAGCCGAGGATTTACAGAGAAACTGCAGCTGAACATGCAGGCTGACCACACTGAGATCAAACACCACAACTACCAGGAAACACCAGTAGAACTCCCAGTAAAACTCCCAGTAACCCCAGTACCTGTGCTTGGTGCAGAGCCCCACCATCGTCATGTTCACCACCATCGCCGGGCTGACGGGCGTCGCCATCACGCTGGCTCTCATCCTCATCATCACGTCGTCCATGGAGGTCATCCGGAGGTCGTACTTCGAGGTGTTCTGGTACACGCACCACCTCTTCATCATCTTCTTCATTGGCCTGGTGTTCCACGGCTACGGGTAAGATCAGAAACACATCCGGGTCAAAGGTCGTAGACTAAACCGGCCCGGACTTTTCTAGACTTAAACGGTTTTGGACAGTCCAGAGCAACCATCAGACTGAAGCAACGACACAAACAAGACAGTCTAAAGAAAAACTTTCATAGAACCTGTTCTGGTCGGATCCAGACGGACAATCAAGTGTCAGACTCCAGATGGAAAAGCAGTCTGACCTCTGAACTCTAGCAAACATTCAGACTGACTTCACCTTCATGTGACTGGCTGACACGGCCCAGTTAGCTGGTCAGCAGGTTCTGCCAGTACCTGGTGCTGATCCAGAGGAGCATCGGCATGCAGGACAGCAGAACCTGATGTCCAGATCAGGGTTCAGACCTGAAGCTTCTTGGTAACGTTTCAACCTAAATGTTTAATGTTCCAGACTAAAAGTGAACTAAAGGAGAATAATGTCAGCTTCGTTGTGGTTCTGCCGGCTTTAGCTGGAATGTTCTGATGATTCCTCGACCCGTTTGTGGCTGCAGGCGAATCGTGCGAGGACAAACTCCGCTCAGCCTGCAGACCAACAACCCCAACAAGTGCGCCGACCACTTCCATGACTGGGGCAAAAACGAGTCAGGCTGCGCCGTCCCCGTGTTCGCAGGGAACCCGCCCGGGGTGAGCCGCCGAGCCAAGGCGCCCACCGAACGGTCAGATCCTCTCCATCTGATTCGCTCCTCAAACCTTTTGCTCTCCTCAGACGTGGCAGTGGGTTGTGGGCCCCATGTTCCTGTACGTTTGTGAGCGGCTGGTTCGCCTCTACCGGTCCCATCAGAAAGTGGTCATCACCAAGGTGACTGCACTCTACTGAGCCAGACTGACCCCGACCCTTTACCTGACCCTGTTCCTGACCCTGTTCCTCACCCTTTACTCGACCCTGTTCCTGACCCTTTACCTGTTCCTGTTCTCCCCCCCAGGTGGTGATGCATCCCTCCAAGACGCTGGAGCTGCAGATGAAGAAGAAAGGCTTCAGCATGGAGGTGGGCCAGTACGTCTTCATCCAGTGCCCGTCCGTCTCCAGGCTGGAGTGGCACCCCTTCACCCTGACCTCCGCCCCGGAGGAGGACTACTTCAGCGCCCACATCCGGATCGTCGGGGACTGGACGCAGGCGCTGTATGAGGCCTGCGGCGGGGACAAGCCGGAGCAGCAGGAGGCCTGGAAGCTCCCAAAGTACGGCGCTGTGAAAACGAGCCTCATTACTCCAACCTGACAGCTGCCGCTGAAAGCAGCTCTGAACGCTGTGGGAGGCGTATTGTGTGTTTGAGAAATGAGCCGGCAGCCATAGAAACCTTAGAAATGCTGCAGTTGCACCATTAAAAGGTGCAGATAATAGAGCTGCTATTCAGACCTGCTGGATCCATCAGAGCTGCTGCCTTCCTCCAAACTACCTGCAGCTCAAAACTAAAACCATCAGAGAATCTGAGATGTGGCACTTATTCACTGTCATGAAATAATTAGTTTGAACTGGAACTTCTGCTTCCACATTTATCCAGAAATTATTTTAAAAAGCATCAAACTTGATCTTCAAACACTTCTAGATGCTGACCAATCAGAAAAGGTTGCTGTTAGCCGACCCAACTAAAGAGACAGCAATAAAGCTCATTATATTTACCTGGCTTTCCTTTTAGTCCTAAGCTGACATTTATGACGGGTTTACAGATTTACAGCATGTTTTGCAAAGAGGCAGGGCGTTTCTGGTGTCACATTTCTCAGCTTAGATTGAAATATGAATAAAAGACTGAATGAGAGGAGCTAAATGTACATCTTCTTCTGCTTTTTGCCCTGTAAACATCCAGCTCTGGTGTTATTGTGTAGCAGTGACAGCAGGTCGGTCTGCATGTTTTTGTGTTGGTCCTCAGGATGGCCATCGACGGGCCGTTCGGCACCGCCAGCGAAGACGTGTTCCGCTACGAGGTGGTGATGCTGGTGGGGGCGGGAATCGGCGTGACGCCCTTCGCCTCCATCCTCAAGTCTGTGTGGTACAAACGCATCCAGAACAACCAGGACGTCTTCACCAAGAAGGTGGGACACGTTGGTTCAGACAGGGAAATGTCAGCTTTCAGAATGCTGTTAGGTTAAAATGTCACCATTTTAACCTAACCTAAGAGACTAAATCTGTTTTAATTAAAATTTCTGGGAAATGTCAGGGAAAAAATGCTGAATTATTCTAGAAATGAGATCTGGATTTATGTTTCGTCCCAGTCAGACACAAGAGCCAGCCAATCACAGCAGCATGTGATTGGCTGCTGTGAAATTAAAAACCATTAGGTTGTTAATTTTTGGGACCAGTCGAATTCAGCCAAATTTTCCATCCCAGATGCTTTAGTTTGTTCAGCGGTTAACGTGAAGCTTTAGCATCGCAGCGGGTTCTGGAGTAAAACCCGACCAGAACCTTGTCTGACGGGCGGTTCTGTTGCAGATCTACTTCTACTGGTTGTGTCCGGAGACCCAGGCCTTTGAGTGGTTCGCGGACCTCCTGCAGTCCCTGGAGCGCCAGATGGCGGACAAAGACATGGCCGACTTCCTGAGCTACAACATCTACCTGACACGCTGGAAGGAGACGGAGGTACTGGTCCAGGCAGAACATTACGACCGCCCCTTGGCTCCCGTTTGTGTCAGCGTCCAACAGTGAAAGCGTTGTGTTTGCTCTGGAACCAGGCGGCTCATTTCCGGGTCCACCACGAGGCGGAGAACGACCCGATCACCGGGCTGAAGCAGAAGACTCTCTATGGAAAGCCCAACTGGGACAATGAGTTCACCAACATCGCTGCCAAGCACCCCAAGTGAGGCCGGTACCTGGTAAGGTGGTGGCTCACCGGTTCTGTCCTCTAACTCCGGTTCTGGTTCTGGTTGGCAGGTCCAAGGTGGGCGTGTTCCTGTGCGGCCCGCCTCAGCTGGGAAAGTCTCTGGAGAAGCAGTGCCTGTCTCACTCCGAGGCCGATGTCAAGTTCATCTTCAACAAGGAGAACTTCTGACCGCTGCGTGGCGCAAACACATTGCTGCAACACAGACGTTGCTACAACAGCCACATTGCTGCAACAGCCACCAGCTTCTTCTTCCTCTGCTGCTTGACCTTTAGGGTCGTTTCCAAACTTCCTTCCTCTGAGGAGACCTTCAGGTGGTGCAAACAAAGCCCGAGACGTGATGGCTGCATCTGCAAATACAGGAGAGGCTTTTATTTGGAAAAGCTTGTGACCTAGCAGCAGCTCTCTGTGAAACGTTTAAACCTAAAAAATAATGGGAAATAATGAGAACCTCCTCAGAAAACAAAGTTGCTTTTCAAAATAAAAGCCATTGTGTTGCTGATCCAGGTTAAACCTGATGACATTTTTTTTTCTTTTTTCAATTAGAAGCTTTTGTTGTAGATACTTTCTGCTCAAAATGCAAGTCAATTAAAATCCAAATTGTTTCATGTTTCTCAGATGTTTGAGTTCATTTCCTGGTTTCAAAGATGAATTTCTGCAAACCTTAAACATTAAAATGATTTATTTATGAAGCTTCAGGAAGTTCCTGTGATGGACCAGTCCAAACCTGTCAGCAATTACTAGAGTAAATATTCAATTATTATATCATTATAATACATTAAATATTTATTTGCTATATGGTAAATATAGTGAATGATATTTACAATATAATAAATATTCATTTATTATAGTAAATTCAGCCAACATTTGCAAATAGACACCCCCCCCCACCATGAAGAGTAAAGCATGGTGGTGGCAGCATCATGTCTGAAAAGGTCTAGATGCAAATGAACTTTGGTTCAGGACCAGAGGAGGAAAATGAAGCAGCAGAAAAACTTGATTAGTTTTTAATAACATGCTGAGCTCAGAGTTATCCTGCTTCATCAAGAGAAAAACTAATTCATTCAGTTTAATTAATCAATAAATGAGAGAAATATCGAGCAGAAACACCAACGAGCTTCAGATTAATGTAGGATGTGACGTTGCTATGGAAACTTTTAGACACCAACCGTCAGACTGAAACGAATAAAAGAAGATTAGACATAAAACATGTTTGGTCCAGAAACTGTTTATTGTGCAGCAGCTCTGATACAAAACCACTCTCTGCCGCCCCATTTCGGCGGCCCGCAGCGCTGCAGCAGTTTAAACCCTGAAGCTCTCCGCCGCCCCCTGTCGGCGGTCCGCAGCGCTGTAGCAGTTTAAACCCTGAAGCTCTCCGCCGCCCCCTGCTGGCGGCCCGCAGCGCTGCAGCCCCGCCGCTCCTAGGCGATGCAGACGGCGAACACGCTCACCACGCAGTACATGGTGCGGTTCTCCCACCGCACTGTGCAGCTGCCTGCGGGACAACAGTCAGACTATTATGGGATGAACTCTGATCCCCGATCAGAGAAACAGAAGTTTTCCTGAGAGCCCAGCTCACCATCCATACTGGTGTCCCAGTAGCAGGAGTTGGCTGTGTGGAGGCCAGCGCCAGTCTTCTGCATCACTGAACACGTCACTGTGCACAAACAGTTTATTATACTTTATTTTATCTTCAGGGGCTGAAAACCATCAAACCTTCATAAAACAGAAGAACAGAACCAGGTTCATTCTGACTCAGCAGCTCCAGCTTTCTGACTGATGAAGGTTCAGACTGAAGTTAGCAAACTGAGCTGGAAGGTTTCTGTCTATTAGTCCAATCACTGAAATGAGGCCTGATGATGTACGACTCAAAGTGATGAATTTATTAGTTAAAGCGATGAATTTATTAGTTAAAATGATTAATTTATTAGTTCAAGCAATGAATTTATTAAAGTTATTAATTTATTAGTTAAAGTGATGAATTTATTAGTTAAAGTGTGGTTATGGTTGGGAATATTGATCAGAGTGAAGGTATGCCGGGTTTTCCCAATCATAGTTTTGTAGCTGAATTTGTACCAATCTGTGAAAGCAGCGATGGCCAGTTTAGCAGTGAACACAGAGGCTGGTGTTGCAGGCTTTGACTGGTCCACTGCGTACCAATGTATTTGTAGGGTTTGTTGAGCTTGACGAGCTGCGTGAGGCAGCGCTCCACGACGGCGGCCGTCCATTTGTTCACATGAGTCTGGCTGTAGTCGTCTCCCCCCAGGACGCTCTCGATGCCCTGACGCAAACACACCGCCATCAGTCATGAGTTAGTCAGCGGGGCGGCGCGTTGCCAGGGAAACACTAAAAATACACGATTTATTACTGATCCGAGCTGCTGATTTCTGCTGCAACAACCCAACAGAAAGAGCAGATTAGGGTGTTCAACACATTAACACGACACAAAACACAAAGAAACTGGCAAATAAAATTTATCAATGGAAAATTTAAAGAAGAGCCAATTTATGAAAACCAGGAACCATAAATTAGTCACTCCGGTTTTCAATCTCAACTCTGAAGTTCAGGAGAGATTTAAATAAAATAAAATTCAGTAACATCTGAACTGCATTAGACTGATGTAGGTTTTCATTGTTCAAAGTTTAAAATAAGCTGTTACTTTCCTATAAACTGGAAAATGTTAGAAATAGAAAATATTTCTTGTAAAATTTGGCATCTAAAATATAAAAGCAAAAAGAAATACCTTTAAAAAATGAACTAACCTCTAATTTTCATCAACTTTAAAAGAACTGTGTGCAATAGAGATAGATAATTTAAATCTTAAATCAGCTTTTGAACATGAATGCAGCAAAATAAATAAATAAATAAAAAGCCAAACTATTGGAGGTCATTTTAATTTTAAAGCCTCGTTTGACCAGTTTGTCAGTAAATTGACTAAATACAATAAATCAGAAAAAGTTAAAATGCTGAGATTAAAACATGAACACTGCCGGCATTACACAAACAGGAAACAGGCTTTAAACTGTCTTGAAGTCTTTATTGTGTCTATTTTTAGACGTGAACTCAATCCATGCTCAAAAATCGCATGAAAAAGTTGATAAAATTGTTAAATAAGCTTCCGAGGCCGTTTCTAAGCAGACGAACGAAAATAACGTGGTTTTACCTCCTTGACGACGTTCTCCGCCTCCTCTGAGTTGAATGAACCCTGAAAAACATCACAGAACATCAGCAGTAAATCAACAGGCCGAGCAGTTGGACAACAGCAGGAAAAAAATCAGCTATTTCCAGTACAACCTTCCTGGAGCTGCTGGGAGCGGCTATGTTAGCCGGTTAGCTTCCAGCTAACTCCTCCCTTCTAACATCCGCAAACCAAAGTAAACTACCGGCTCAGGCACCGACCTCGCTGCCGTTCTGATACTCTTCCATCCCGGCGAACTGTCCCCGCTTCAAGCCGCCTTTCGACTCCGTGAACTGGAAGAAAACTGGGAGACGAACCGGTTTACTGGGAGAAAAAGCCGAGTCTGGTCCAGACTTCCTGACAGCTGAGAGCAGGCGCTGCTGCCACCTGCTGGTGACTCTGAGGAACAATTTTTCAAATGTCATTTTTCTATCAGCAGCAAAAATGAAACATGGTGTTTCATTCCATTAAAAAATATTTTTCATAAATAATTATCTCTAAATTAGCTGTTCGTTATTTCTTTACTGTCTGACCCAAACATGTTTCTGTAATAAAGAAGGAAAGTGTTGATGTTCAGTAAAACAAACATTCAGCTTCATATCAAAACCTTCTACTCTCAATAAAACATCTGATATAGAAAAATAGACGTTTTTCAAGAGTGAGCTGACTGATGATGTCATCAGCCGCTATGACATCATCAGTCCCAGAGGCTTCATATGACGGTCAGGCAGAACTTCTCCCTCATTCTGCATCTCAACTTGTAGTTTTGGAGCTGGAGCAATTCTAGTGCAACACAGATGCAAACCTTTATTGAAGTTTCCCAAATCAAAGTTTTACAAATCACAAACATGGTTCTAAATATCCCGCTTTTAGAGTAGAATCATCCAGTCCAGGTTTGAAGAGTCTAGGTGTTGTAGTTTTTAAACTAGAGTCGATTGAAGATGCGGAAAGTAGTGAAAAATTAGGTGGAATCGAACTTTAGCCATTTCCCAAATCAGAAAGCTGGAATCGGAAACCAACTTCAGCTTCGTGTTCCACACCACATTGCTTAGGATTTACTGCTGCGCGCTTGCGGGTGTGAAGGAAAGAAGAGACCGCTGCACACGCAGGCTGCGAATGAGATACAGGTGATCGGCAACAAGAGACAGTGATTGGCGATGACTAATCATACACTTTTTCACGGAAATCGGCCGATTATGATCGATGCCGATCGATAGGCACACCTCTCTAATGGATGTGTAGAGTAAAGATGGATGCTCCCAGGTGTTTGTCGCATTAGGAAAACTTTACAGCTCTTATTTTCAATATACACTGACAGCTGGTTCAATCTGGTGGAGTTTCACTAATAACTATAATATTAATTAAAAATTCTTCAGAGCTCCAACATTTAATTTTCCTTTTAAGACCAAGAACATATTTTTGAGTTTAAATTCGTCTCCTCGCTCAGGACCATCACCACCAGCCGCAGGTTTTCATATTTTAGACTTTAAAGTCGTTTAAAATTACAGTAAACTTGATTTAGAGAAGAAAATGTTCTGAGCTCTAAATGTAAATAACGCGCTAAGAATAAAACCCGGTGCAGCATAGTTAATGTTTTTCTTCGTTATCTTTAATTACCCGGATGTTACCAGCGAACAGCATGCAAGGCTAACGTTAAAGCAGGGGTCCCCAAACTACGGCCCGGGGGCCGGATCCGGCCCGCAACCTCATTTGGTCCGGCCCCCTTATCAATTCCGGATCCGGCCCGCCTCCTCATACCAGAGAGCATTCAGTGTTTTTTTTCATATATTGTATTTTCTGGTTTATATTTCTTCAACCACCAGGGGGCTCTTGAGCAGATGTGAAACTTACTTTCCCTCGATGGAATATATACTCATCAGTCCCAGTCACCGTTTCACTCACGGTTTTTTCCATTTGCATTCTGGGTAAAATTTGATCTAAAAACGCGAATATGTTGTCGGCCGTAATCCAGCACCCCCTTCCCCTCTCCCCCGCTCGACAGACCGGCCCCCGACCAGAAAAGGGAACAGTTATGTGGCCCTCGCAGGAAAAAGTTTGGGGACCCCTGCGTTAAAGAAACACGCCGTTGTGCCTTGCTAACATAACTCTGCTTGTATTTCTTTACCCAGTGTTTCGTCTTCTGCCTCCTCTGCCGTCTCTGCTCGGTGTTTGGGGCGTGTTGGTGTTCTCAGCAGCGACAACCCGGAAGTAAACAAAACTTCTCCTTGGATACAAGCTCTTTTAAAAGCTCCAATTTTCTGTCCACTTTGTTCTCCAGGTACAGCTCAGTAATCAGAACATCATTTAATAGACTATTTATTTTAGTAATTTGGTTAAAACGCAAAACGTGTAGATAATATAGATCCATCACACAGAGAATTCAAGTATTTATTTTGGTAAATTCTGAAAGTTTTGGTTTACAGCGTTTGTTTATGTGTTGTTTATTAGACTAATAAAAATGTCTTAATACATGGATTTATATTCTGGCCATGTCATTACCTATTGCTTGTGTGCCCGTTTTTACCACAATTCTTTCTTCCACTCAACTTAAATTACAAAAGTCTGGATGACCAGAACTGACAGGGAAAGGAGGCTCCTGTTATCAAACCATTTCATCTTCAACGTTTCATTTAGATGTCACAGATGACTCTGAGCTTCTGTAAAATTATCTGTTTTAAAAATTTAAATGAAAAATGAAAGCGTTTCATGTGCGCGTCACAGAGAAAGTGGAGTAGATCCCCCAGTGGTCGCTGGTGAACAGACCACACCGGAGCTTCTCCAGGCCGATCAGCGCCATGCTGCGAGGCTCCAGCTGGAGGACACCGTCCCCACTCGCCCGCCGGAGGTACACCCGGTCGAATCGGAACTGGCACTTGAATTTTATTTCATTGTTGGTGTTTGCCCGAGTGTCCCAGGTGTAGCGGCACTTCTCCGGCTCTCCCAGCTGTTCCCACAGGTCCACGACGTTCCCGGGAAGCCCCACGGCGGCCACCTGCAGGGAACGCCAGGGAGGAGGCTGAAAACACCCGGAAACAAACCTGGGCTTCATCCTGGGAATTATAAGCCTAACCGTGACCCCCTCCAGGCTGCTCTGACCCCCTCCTGGTTGCTCTAACTTCCTCCTGGCTGCTCTGACCCCACCAGGCTCCTCTGACCCTACCAGGCTCCTCTGATCCCACCAGGCTGCTCTGTTATTAACTATTATTAGTCTAATAGTTATGTGTTCATTTTTGACAATACTGAAACACAACTAGTCTTAAAAGTCCCTGAAAAACATCATACATAAAACACAAAATGTTTTAATGATGTTTTAAAATTCACTGGCTGGTTACTATGTTGGGTTTTAAAAAAATCTACATTACTTTGAATTGTTTGTCATTTTTCAGACTTGTGTTTCAGTTTTAATCATATAACTACCCAGGAATATTTTAAAATTTCCTGCCGACTTTTTACATTTTTTAACAGAAAATCAGAATGGGTCGCGCTGGTGCCCCCTAGGAGGAGAGGTGAGGAATCTGACCTCGTGGTCCCTCAGGTTGGTGTCCCCTCCAAACAGAACCGTCTGGTCATCCGGAGCCTGGCTCATCGCCTTCATCACCAGCCTTAGCTGCCTCATCCTCTCTGCAGAGTTGGCCTTGCAGCTCTCAAAGTGGGACGTCATCAGACTCAGCTTCTGGCCTTCAAACTCCACCTGGCCCAACAGAGCGGATTTTCACAATAAAAGCCTGGGCGACAGGACTTAGCTGTTTGTGGACGAGCAGGAACCTGAGCAACCAGCAGGTTTCTCGTCATGCGAGACTTTGAGAAGTTGAGAATGTGGTGATCTAGCAGCCTGAGGCGGGACTTCTTCAGCAGCATCATGGTGAAGTAACCGTCCTGTCCACCTGGAGGAGACACACACCGTGAGACACACACCATGAGACACACACCGTGAGACACACACACTGTAAGACATACACTGTGAGACACACACCACCACCCCGAGTCACCCAGTCATCAGACGGCCTTCAGGCTGCAGGACCTTCTATGAAGTTGTAGGCATCTCCCAGACGTCTGTGCATGAACCGCATGTAGGCCTGCACCATCTCCTGCAGAAGCACCACATCAGCCGAGTATCTGGGGAGAGACCTGTTAGAAACACATCTGCAGTGACCCTTGACCCTGAAAATGAGCCTGGTCTCACTCTGTGAGGTAGGAGCAGAGGCTCCTGGCTCTCTCTGGCTGCTCGTCTCCATCCAGACCGTCGATGTTCCAGCTGATCAGCGACAGCTGCTCCTCTTTGCTTCCTGTTGGCTCCACACTGCACAGAGGGTTAGCACACCATGCTAACATTGCGGTATTATTCACCTAATCAAAGTTTATCAGATGATGGACACATTAATCTGACATAAATACTTCCAACAGTTTATAAATTATAAATGCTAACATCGAAACCAGAGAGCAGAGAGAGGAGGAAGAAGCTCCAGCCTTCATAACGGCGAAGGATAATATCATCAGCGTCTCTCTTTCTAACCTGATGAGCAGACAGGGAACTAAAGAGAAGCAACAAAAGCTGAGGAGGTGGATTAACAGAGCTAGCTAACAGATGATGGTGTCATCTAGTACAGGTTACTCTGCTGCCTGGATATTGAGCTGTTAGCATGAGACCATCGTACAACAACAGTCTTCAGTCAGAAGCCTCCTAATATACGCTGGAAGACTGACTGCTACTGGAGGTCCTTCCAGCCCACAGCATCACTATTCGCAACAACTCTGGAGATTCTTGGATGATTTTGAGTTACAGCAACCTTTAATTTGTCTTTGGCATAAACAAAGTATATTTGTATTGAACTGAAAGGATTGACAACAGAGTCAATTTCCTCTACTGAAGAAAAGAAAACGTGATGGACTGGATATCATTCACCTGATTAGTTAATAGATCTAGAATATTTGAAGAAAGCTTGAAGAATCAATCCGTGGTTCACCTAATCGATCTGTGGATCTGATCATGGGTTCGTTATAATTTATCCTGGATAAACATGACTCCCTCATCTTTCTCGGAGTCCAGGAAGCCTTGACCCGTTGCCATGGTGACCAACCTGGGCAGCGATCTGGCCAATCAGAGCGGCTGATAGTTGAACCAGCAGAACCATTTCAGTCCAACAGATGATGAAAAATGTTACTTCCTGGTCTGAGTCACCGTCTCTGTCATCAGACCTGACTAGGGTTGCCACCTTTCAGAAATAAAAATAAGGGACGCCCACTAATGCGCGTCGTCCTAGTCTGATAAGTGGAGGGGTGGGGGGTGCGATTCGACTAGGGTTACCAAGGGACCAGTCCCTATATATTTATGTTTTAAGCGGCGGGGGGTAAGAGACTGCGGCGGCAGTCTCGGTTGGTCTGTGTTACCCAGAAAGCAGTTGGACACAATATCGCAACACCAGCACCGTGAATGAAACAACGACTGGGGCAGCCTACTATAATAAAGTACTTGGGGACCGCATCTAAACTGTCTATGCATACACATTTGTAGAATACGGAACAGTACGGGATTTAACAGGCACATATACGGGACGGTTACGTATTTTAAGCGATGACCTGACTAAACTTCTTGACTCTGCAACTTTCATAACTTTCCAGCTGCACGCCTAAAAAAAGACTTGTCAGAAATCCTGCGAGAAAATTAAAGATGTTACATAACGCTACAGAAATGAATGGGTGAACTACCAGCTCTCTGGTTGTGTGCAGCCTGAGTTCTTCTTCTCTACGTCCATGTCAGCCCTGAAGTCCAAATGAATCCAGATCCAGCTGCGGGGCAACAGCGGCTCACACAGAGAGAACAGCGCCCGAGTTTCTGTTTCCCTAGAATAAATCACATGACCTGACAGTTGACAGGGCTGAATGGAGTCCAGTTTATCAGCTTTTTATTCTCGTCTCTCTTCCCTCACCTATGGAGGACCAAAACTGACATAATAATAAATAAAAGAATAAATATATAAATAAAAGAATAAATAAAT